GTGCGAGCTGGATTAATAAATCAGTCCCGCACAGACCTCTACTAGAGTGGTCTTGCGTTTAGCAAGCACACACACACAACAACAACAAAGGCCCAATTCTCCAACAATGGGATAGCAGCAGGATCTGTTGATGATTCTGTAAATGGTAAGCGCTGAAGCTTATTTAAGCAGCTTCTTTTTTATTCTGTGAGTGCAGAGTCGACCACATGCTACGTAACAGGGTGAGAGAAAGAGGCCCACACTCAGCTGTGTAGCATGTATGTGCATACGGGAGTATGTGCGTGCGTACGTACTACCGTTCTGAGCGCCACGTGTGTGTGTGTGTCTGTACCCAGTAAAGACAATTCACACTCTCTCCAGCACTTGTTACTACCCACAGGCTTGTGTGTGTGTGTAAGTGTGTGTGTGTGTAGCTGTTAGGGTAAGCATGAGCATGCCTATAACGCTGGAAAATCCCCCTGGGCCTCTTGGTCAGGTCACCATTCTGCACTGTCACTTGCCAAGAACACTCAGTTCCATTGGTGGATATTAGTTTCTGAGCATGTTCCATTGGTATAGATTTGTTTCTGAGAGGCGTCCTTCACCAGTATACTATTCTCTGGGGTCTCTCTCTCAGGCACCAACTGACTGTGCAACACTTGTAGCTGTCAGACCAAGCTGATGGATAAGGAAGAGACTAGAGCACATGCAGAGCAAAGATGGAGGAACATGAGTTGGACACACAGTCGCGCATTGCACATCCACTTACTTAGACGTTCTGCTCTCACTGTGAGAGTGTACTGCTAGGGTTGGGTTCTATCCAAATGTTCATACTGTCATACCGTTTCTGTACCATACCATACGGCATTACCGGAAGTGCACACAAGGGGCGCTATTTCTAACAAATAAAATAAAACGTTGACAAACAAATTACTTATAAGCAGTGGCGTAGCACGCACCCCCGCAAGGGTGACGGGCGGAGAGAGGCAGCAGTAGTCTAACTAGGTGACGGGCAGAGGGAGGCAGCAGTAGTCTAACTAGGTGACGGGCAGAGGGAGGCAGCAGTAGTCTAACTAGGTGACGGGCAGAGGGAGGCAGCAGTAGTCTAACTAGGTGACGGGCGGAGGGAGGCAGCAGTAGTCTAACTAGGTGACGGGCAGAGGGAGGCAGCAGTAGTCTAACTAGGTGACAGGCAGAGGGAGGCAGCAGTAGTCTAACTGGGTGACGGGCGGAGGGAGGCAGCAGTAGTCTAACTGGGTGACGGGCGGAGGGAGGCAGCAGTAGTCTAACTGGGTGACGGGCGGAGGGAGGCAGCAGTAGTCTAACTGGGTGACGGGCGGAGGGAGGCAGCAGTAGTCTAACTGGGTGACGGGCGGAGGGAGGCAGCAGTAGTCTAACTGGGTGAATCCCCCTTGAATTTTTCCTATTTTGTTGCATTACAACCTGTAATTTAAATGGATTTTTATTTGGATTTCATGTAACGGACATACACAAAATAGTCCAAATTGGTGAAGTGAAATTTAAAAAATAAATAACGGAAAAGTGGTGCGTGCAAATGTATTCACCCCCTTTCCTATGAAGCCCCTAAATAAGATCTGGTGCAACCAATTACCTTCAGAAGTCACATAATTAGTTAAATAATGTCCACCTGTGTGCAATCTAAGTGTTACAATCTGTCACATGATCTCAGTATTTATACACACCTGTTCTGAAAGGCCCCAGAGTCTGCAACACCACTAAGCAAGCGGCACCATGAAGACCAAGGAGCTCTCCAAACAGGTCAGGGACAAAGTTGTGGAGAAGTACAGATCAGGGTTGGGTTATAAAAAAATATCCGAAACTTTGAACATCCCCGGAGCACCATTAAATCCATTATTAAAAAATTGAAAGAATATGGCACCACAACAAACCTGCCAAGAGAGGGCCGCCCACCAAAACTCACGGACCAGGCAAGGAGGGCATTAATCAGAGAGGCAACAAAGAGACCAAAGATAACCCTGAAGGAGCTGCAAAGCGTCACAGCAGAGATTGGAGTATCTGTCCATAGGACCACTAAGTCGTACACTCCACAGAGCTGGGCTTTACGGAAGAGTGGCCAGAAAAAAGCCATTGCTTAAAGAAAAAATAAGCAAACACGTTTGGTGTTCGCCAAAAGGCATGTGGGAGACTCCCCAAACATATGGAAGAAGGTACTCTGGTCAGATGAGACTAAAATTGAGCTTTTTGGCCATCAAGGAAAACGCTATGTCTGGCGCAAACCCAACACCTCTCATCACCCCGAGAACACCATCCCCACAGTGAAGCATGGTGGTGGCAGCATCATGCTGTGGGGATGTTTTTCATTGGCAGGGACTGGGAAACTGGTCAGAATTGAAGGAATGATGGATGGAGCTAAATACAGGGAAATTATTGAGGGAAACCTTTTTCAGTCTTCCAGAGATTTGAGACTGGGATGGAGGTTCACCTTCCAGCAGGACAATGACCTGTTGGATGGGTTCCGCTGGTGTACAGCAATCTTTAAGTCATACCACAGATTCTCAATTGGATTGAGGTCTGGGCTTTGACTAGGCCATTCCAAGACATTTAAATGTTTCCCCTTAAACCACTCAAGTGTTGCTTTAGATTGCTGGTATGACTTAAATATTACTGTACACCAGCGGAACCCATCCAACTTGAAGGAGCTGGAGCAGTTTTGCCTTGAAGAATGGGCAAAAATCCTAGTGGCTAGATGTGCCAAGCTTATAGAGACATACCCAAGAGACATGCAGCTGTAATTGCTGCAAAAGGTGGCTCTACAAAGTATTGACTTTGGGGGGGTGAATAGTTATGCACGCTCAAGTTCTGTTTTTTTGTGTCTTATTTCTTGTTTGTTTCACAAGAAAAAATATTTTGCATCTTCAAAGTGGTAGGCATGTTGTGTAAATCAAATGATACTAGCCCGCCCAACTACCTCATCCCTATATTGTTATTTATTTTGCTAATTTGTACCCCAGTATCTCTATTTGCACATCATCTCTTGCACATCTATCATTCCAGTGTTAATACTAATTGTAATTATTTTGCACTATAGCCTATTTTATTGCCTTACCTCCATAACTTGCTAAATTTGCACACACACTGTATATTATATGCATTTCTGTTTTGTTTTACCCCATATGTAACTCTGTGTTGTTGTTTTTATCGCACTGCTTTGCTTTATCTTGGCCAGGTCGCAGTTGTAAATGAGAACTTGTTCTCAACTGGTTTACCTGGTTAAATAAAGGTGAAATAAAAAAATAAAAATAAAAATACAAACCCCCAAAAAATCCATTTTAATTCCAGGTTGTAAGGCAAGAAAATAGGAAAAAAGCCAAGGGGGTGAATACTTTCGCAAGCCACTGTACCTTTTCCTTACCCTCATCTACCGCTTTCCTCCCCCCAACTTGACAGGCACACTGTCCAATTTTAAACACACACACACCCACACACACACACACACACAGTCCATCCTGAAAGACAGACACACACCAAAAGGGAGCCAGACTGTTTAGTCTGTCGGCTCGCCAAGTCAGGAGTAGGGGGGGAGAGAGCGGTAGTGTGTGCTTGGAGTCCAGACAGAGGAGGGAGGCTGCTGGCCATGAGGGATAGATCTCTTTTTAATGAACAGTTACTGGCCAACCACACACACACAGAGACACAGAGAGAGGAGCTAAGAAGCTCAGGGGCTCTGCTCACCACACACTTCTCTCCTCTAACAGTATGTTATCTGATGCCTCCCCTGGCAGACAGACTGACTGTGGTTAGAATCAGCTTTTAATGGTAACAGTATCTGTCCCACAGCTGTAGAAAGACAGACATATGATGATACTAACGTGAATACTGCATGCAAAGCTGTTTTTCTGCGACGGGCAGGCGGTAGGGAGGGAGGGTTAACACTGAGATCAGAGCGCCCTATTAATAACATCAAAAGAGAAGCTGAGTTGAGATTATCTGTGTGTCCCAAATGGCACGCTATTCCATGTATAGTGCACTGCTTTTGATAAGGGCCCATAGGTCGCTGGTCAAAAGTAGTGCACTATATAGGGAACAGGGTGCCATTTGGGATGCAGCCCAGATCAAGCTTGTCAGGACTATTGAGACTTCTTCTTAGAGGACCTCTAAAGGGCTAGAGGAGAGAAACCGGAAAGAGGCTCCACAGGTCCTGTTATCTATCAGCCTGAAGTCAGCGTGTCAGGCCATTCACTAGAGAAGTTTCAACATGTTTTTTTTTTAAAAGATGGGATAATTTCTTCTCTGGTTTATTTGTGGAAAAGAAGAAGAACGTTTTAAAAAATGAGGCTGCCAAAACACGGAGCTATGTGAGCATATTAAATGAGAAAGCAGCCTTTTATAGTTCTTTAACTCATGCATATTTTCTGAGTCTGTAGTAAAAATGTTTTAGCATTTAAACAAATTCACAACTGTGAGACATGCCTTTGAGACTTTGTAAAAAGCCAATCGAAAAGACAAAACAAAAACAAAAAAGGGAAACGCACACAAGAACTAAAGTTTCAACAAGGACGCTTCTCAACGAAAGACAAAAGAAACCGACAGCAAAAAGCAACCAAAACAACAACAAATGTTGCAGGCAGGATCAGGCAGGCAGAGGGACAGCAGCAACAGAGCCTCTACAGAGATCACATTTCCTGGCTTAGCTCCACAATGACCTGTAGTAACCCTGTGTGCTGCGGGGTTACTGTAGGTCGCTCCACTGTAGAGCCTAATCAGGAAGTCACAACTAACTTCACAGGATACAGTACAGTGCTGAATGATCTGGTTGTTTCGCTTTCCCCTGCTGCTCCTCCTACAGCACACGACTGGAGTCAGAGGGGATGTGAACAGTTGATGGTTGAGTTACAGAGATTATGTTGTAATGTGAATATTTAATGAGTAACGTGCCCTAGATTATTATTTTTTTGCTTTCTTTTCCCATCTAACAAGACGATGCAAGGATCGTAGCGAATTACTATTGTAATAAGATGGTAAATATGTATGCGTGTGTGTTATACAGAATATCCGTACCTCGTCTGTTCCTGGAGTATGAGATGTGGTTCCACAAAGAACTTGACCCGAAGCCGGAGTCGGCAGGGAGTCAGATTGTCCATCTGCTGACAGATTCTGTTCCTCAGGTTGAGCCACAGGTTCTCTCCTTTACTGCCCGAGAACTGCAGGCCAAAGTAGTCCACCTCTATGATTCCCAACTTCCTACACACCTTTGGAATAGAAGAAGAATTACGTTTTTTAGGCTACATGGCGAGATCCCATGAATAGTCATTCTATCAAAGTAAAACCTCAACTGATGTACAGTTGGTGAAGGCCTAGACCTGGACGTTTAGAGCATCTTCAATAAAACATGAGACCGAGTTGACCATGTTTTTTTATTACTATTTTTTGCCTTTGCCATTGACTCTGTGGTTTGTACACGTCAATATGCAGTGGGAGCGGTTGATGGAAAATACATTGGGATCTTTTTCCCGCGGTAATAAAGCTCAACAGCGGCAAGAAAGGAATGGAGTTACATAACATCAAGGGTAGCCTACGTCCAGAGGGGACCGACGGTGAGAACTAATATGACTCCAGTCAAAAGATATGTCAACGCGCTGTGCATAAGAGATAGGGCCTTAGACTGTATAGAACTCAGTAGAAGACAACGCGATTAGAGCCTCTGTTAAATTCACATTGGTTCCTTTTATTTCCTGGATTGATGACTACATCATTGACACCAGCAGTTTTGTACACGCGTTAGAGTATTTAACTCTTTCAAAACGGATTTTTCAGCAATTTGGAACTATTGGATATTCAATGTTGATCTAGTAAACAATGGGAACCCCCATTGAAGCTACCCAATAACATTGCCAATTTGCCAAGTATGCACGGGGAAACCAAATGAACTGAAGTAACCTTGGCTTGACAAAGCCTTTCCTCGTGACTATACTACCAGTAAACAATTCCCCCATAAAGCACCTTAATAGTACCTATTTAGGTAATCACCAACATAATCATGAGTTTGGGGGGCTATTTCACGGACAACGTAACCAACTTCTTTTCGACCAAAGCAACATTGTTGCACGATAGAGGAAGCGCATTTGTATTGCTGTGTGTGACAATGTAGGGTAGGCTATAGTGACAGACAATGCCATTTAGAGAACTGACGCTGTCGACAGAAAATCTAGTAATAACGTTAAACATTGAACTTCGCCTGTACATCAACATTTTGATTTATCATCTCCGCAAACGAACACACACGCTCATGTGTTGGGTTTCAATCTAAAAATGTCACTGCAAATTGCACTTGCAGGACAACATTGACTGGAATTCAACACAACTGTAGATATACATTAACAACAACCTGAAAAGGGTGGAATTAAATGAGTATCCACTATCCATACCTTATTCAGACAGTCTTCACCATTCGCCTTCGCATCAACTTCCACTTCCATAACCACCGAATCCGTACGGGTAACATGGCAAAGCATTTTGGCAGTCTAATATTTTAGCTTTGGTCGATACCTCTCTTTAAAAATAAAAATAAATAAACAACCTCGTTATCCCTCCTTTTGAGACCCTACATTAAGTTTTCGTTCACTTTCTAAGCCCTCTCACTTCGTGTACCAAACACTACCTTCCAGCTGTAGGCTATATCAATTGCTATGCCAACGCACTGCTTAATCGGAAGCAGCCAATGACAGGGCGTTTAGCATATTCTCAGCCACAAGCCTGCCAACTGCGAGCCCCGTCATATCGAAACGAGACCGTCTAGTGGCTACAACGCATGACGAGGACAAACAAGGCGCCCCCTTCTGGGGTGTGCTGCTAGTTGAACCTTCCATAAGTCTACGGGACCTTCACCTGCTTGGGAAGAGTTGACTATCCATGGACATATCTGAGTAGAGTTGCTCTGAGTAAGTTGAGAGCTGCATAATAATTAATAATGCATTGAAATACTGATCAAAAATAGCAACAGTGGAGGACTATGTGACCCAAACCATTTATTTCTGTGCTTGCTTTAAAAAGCATCTGAATTGTTAATGCTAAAAGCTCCCATTGTTTTTACCCAAATACGCCCTGTGAGCAAAGTCTATTCCTGTAAGTTGTCTATGGCTAGTTAGGCCTACCTGTCTCTATGTTGTTGACATTCAGCAGCCTACTGTGTAGCCTAACAACCATTGTGAACATGCACAGAATGAGACCTGGAGAAATCATTTGACAGCTGTGTGTGAACATGTGTTTTTTCTGAGGTTTCTGAGGTTCCGAGTTATATCCTCCATCACCTTTCTGCAACCGCTCTTAGTTACTTCTTGTGTGAACTTCACTAGTTATATCTGATTAAAAGGTGATCATTTCTTCTCTGTGTCTGTAAACCTCCTATCATGACAGACAGGCACTATAGTATGGAAATTCATCATCCTGTTATTGTATGGTTATAATGAACTGCACTCATTCCCACAGAGAAACATGCACCCTATACCACAAGTCCTATGTTCACACATTGATGTGCTTGACATCAGTAAAAATGCAGCAGTATATTGGTGCTCTTGGGTGTGCATGTGTGTGGATGATTGTAGGGGGTGACTGTCAACGACCTTCCTCCATACTGACATAAAAATACAATTGAAGTCCGTCAAAGCTGCATGGCAGTCGGATGCAAATTAAGTACTTAAAATGGCCTGTTTTCTTTTTCTATTTGAATTTGTCACAGAGAGGGACAGTTGAGAGGGACATTTGAGAGGGACATTTGAGAGGGACATTTGCCTCAAAATGTCCCCCACCAAGTATTGCTTTGAAAATAACTGACTGTCTGTGACAATGACTGTATAAATTGGTCTGTGACCCTGATGTTCTGCTGACTTTCAGATTGGATAGCAGGAGAGATGTAATGTGGATTGAGACAGGCCAAACCTGTGAGTGAGTGAGAGAGAGAGTGAGAGAGAGAGTGAGAGAGAGAGAGACTATGTACAGACTCATTGAGCATAACCTTGCTATTGAGAAAGGCCGCTGTAGGCAGACCTGGCTCTCAAGAGAAGACAGGCTATGTGCGCACTTCCCACAAAATTAGGTGGAAACTGAGCTGCACTTCCTAACCTCCTGCCAAATGTATGACCATATTAGAGACACATATTTCCCTCAGATTACAGCGATCCACAAAGAATTCGAAAACAAACCCAATTTTGATAAACTCCCTTATCTAATGGGTGAAAAACCACAGTGTGCCATCACAGCAGCAAGATTTGTGACCTGTTGCCACAAGGAAAGGTCAACCAGTGAAGAACAAACATCATTGTAAATACAACCCATATTTATTTTCCCATTTGTACTTTAACTATTTGCACATTGTTACAACACTGTATATATACATAATATGACATTTGAAAAGTCTTTATTCTTTTGGAACTTCTGAGTGTAATGTTTACTGTTAATATTTATTGATTATTTCACTTTTGTTTACTATCTACTTCACTTGCTTTGGCAATGTTAACATACGTTTCCCATGCCAATAAAGCCCTTAAATTGAACATTGAAATTGAAATTGAATTTAGAGAGAGTGTTCTCAGCGCATTAGTGTGGTGTTCAACTCAGCCAGCTGTTTGGCCTCCTGCACCCTTCCAAAGGACATCAGGTAGCTGGGCTGCCGGGCAGAAACTACCAGTGTTCTGATGCAGCTAGTCTAGTGTTGAAACTACCAGTGTTCTGATGCAGCTAGTCTAGTGTTGAAACTACCAGTGTTCTGATGCAGCTAGTCTAGTGTTGAAACTACCAGTGTTCTGATGCAGCTAGTCCAGTGTTGAAACTACCAGTGTTCTGATGCAGCTAGTCTAGTGTTGAAACTACCAGTGTTCTGATGCAGCTAGTCCAGTGTTGAAACTACCAGTGTTCTGATGCAGCTAGTCTAGTGTTGAAACTACCAGTGTTCTGATGCAGCTAGTCTAATGTTTAAACTACCAGTGTTCTGATGCAGCTAGTCTAATGTTTAAACTACCAGTGTTCTGATGCAGCTAGTCTAGTGTTGAAACTACCAGTGTTCTGATGCAGCTAGTCTAGTGTTTAAACTACCAGTGTTCTGATGCAGCTAGTCTAGTGTTGAAACTACCAGTGTTCTGATGCAGCTAGTCTAATGTTTAAACTACCAGTGTTCTGATGCAGCTAGTCTAGTGTTGAAACTACCAGTGTTCTGATGCAGCTAGTCTAATGTTTAAACTACCAGTGTTCTGATGCAGCTAGTCTAATGTTTAAACTACCAGTGTTCTGATGCAGCTAGTCTAGTGTTGAAACTACCAGTGTTCTGATGCAGCTAGTCTAATGTTTAAACTACCAGTGTTCTGATGCAGCTAGTCTAATGTTTAAACTACCAGTGTTCTGATGCAGCTAGTCTAATGTTTAAACTACCAGTGTTCTGATGCAGCTAGTCTAGTGTTGAAACTGCCAGTGTTCTGATGCAGCTAGTCTAATGTTTAAACTACCAGTGTTCTGATGCAGCTAGTCTAATGTTTAAACTACCAGTGTTCTGATGCAGCTAGTCTAGTGTTGAAACTACCAGTGTTCTGATGCAGCTAGTCTAATGTTTAAACTACCAGTGTTCTGATGCAGCTAGTCTAATGTTTAAACTACCAGTGTTCTGATGCAGCTAGTCTAGTGTTGAAACTACCAGTGTTCTGATGCAGCTAGTCTAATGTTTAAACTACCAGTGTTCTGATGCAGCTAGTCTAGTGTTGAAACTACCAGTGTTCTGATGCAGCTAGTCTAGTGCTGAAACTACCAGTGTTCCTGATACAGAACTTTTGACTGGTACTGTGTATATATGTACATGTACCACCGTCATTTTGAACACCAGCGCTGTGTAAATAAATCCAGCACTCATTTGCACCTCTACCTGCCTGCCTCCTGCTGAATCTTTGTCCTTATGACTGCTAGAAGATCGCTATTTTATAATCATATCCCAAAACTCGAATTGTATTCTCTTTTGATTTGAAATGTAAGAAGCAGAGAGGTTCATTTTTCATTTGTTGGGCAGCATGTGTCCCAAATGGCACCCTATTCCCTATTAAGTGCACTACTTTTGACCAGGGCTTATAGGGCTCATGTCAAAAGTAGTGGACGATATATGGAATAGGGTGCCATTTGGAACTCAGGTTTGGTCTCATTCAGATGAGTGGCTATCCAACATCACCACATGGTAGAAGAGAAGAGAGGGTATTTGATTTGGAAGTGAACTGCAGATTAGTCTCCCAGGGACTAGTTCCTGTCCACAGACAGACCCTCACACTAAGACACCAGTGGACACACACACACACGCACACATGCACACACACCACACATACACATGCATGCACGTACGTATACACACACACACACACACACACACACACACACACACACACACACACACACACACACACACACACACACACACACACACACACACACACACACACACACACACACACACACACACACACACACACACACACACACATACACACACACACACACACACACACACAGCCATACACACAGCCACACACAGTCACACACACACACACACCTGAAGCCTCAACACAGTTTACTCTCCTGTTCTCCCATGACCAGGATGTTTGCCAGTGAGACATATTGCGATGTCATGACTGCAGAATTACTACCAAGTCTACCGTGACTGCAGTCTGGCCTTCCAATTATGTGTTCAGATTACCCATTGGAGTTGTGTCTTGAATTTATATACACTACTCACATTGTTTAAATCTGCTATCAGCTTTTGCTGCTTTAACTCTCAGGAGGAGCTCTCTGTACACCTGGCCCCAGGAGGTATCCTCTCTGTGCACCTGGCCCCAGGAGGTATCCTCTCTGTGCACCTGGCCCAGGAGGAATCCTCTCTGTGCACCTGGTCGCAGGAGGAGCTCTCTGTGCACCTGGCTGCAACATCAGTGTAAAACAAGATTGGCTCAGATTGTGAAGAGGTATTTATACCAGTAATGCAGAAGCCGCAGGCCTACAGCAATACATCAAAGATAAACTAGCTAGTATTAACCGGCACGCCATAGAAACAGCCTCTCATTGCATCTACAGTATGTGACGTTCCATTAAAGCAGAGCGATAAGAAAACCATGACTTGTGATCATCTCTTCTAATGTACTTTTATGATCTCTTCTAAGTTGAGTTGTTCAGAATGTCCAATATCTTTGGTGCAGGGCTTTAGGAGGAATGCTTTTATTCTGCCATGTGGGAGGGTGTGAATCGGCCCTGATGTATTTCACTGTAAGCAGGGGGGACAGTAAATGATTGCAGCAATGCCACTGTAACTCCCCAGGGGGGTGTGCGTGCATGCGTGCGTTTCCATATGGAAACCACATGTTTGACCCTGTTCCATTTATTCCATTCCAGCCATTACAGTGAGCCCGTCCTCCTATAGCTCCTCCCACCAGCCTCCACTGACACAGATGGGTCTCATGTTGTTTCATGATGAGTTCCTTTAATGTCAAAACAT